ATAGGGATACATTCGGCCTGTGCCTCTACATACTCTAGGTATGCCGCTACGTCGCGCGGAACTAATTAGCCATCGTGTGACATCGCCTTTGATCTCCGTAAATTAATAATAGCATGGCGCTGCCTCGACAGGGAATTGAATTCGGTTCCCGCTACTGATGTTTTCAGCATTCTCTCCTTTAGAAACCCAATAAAAGGCTTTGGTTTTATTCGCGCTGTGATTATTATCAGCAATTGTTCAAAAAAATAAAAATATCTAATATTGTGTGTGATATATATATTGAAATATTAAGTTTAATGTACAGAAAGAGGAAAATTGTCGATAATGATATAGGTCTCTTAAAGTGACCCCTTTTTTCCGCCTATTTTGTCAGACGCTCATTTTTACTTATTTTACGAAAAAGTTAATTATTGTAAAATTGTAAAAAGTATTATAAAATTGGCTATATTATCTGTATATAAAAGATAGTTTATAATCTGTATGTATGTTTCTAAAATTTTATTTTTAGGTTTTGTTTAAAAAATATTTAAATGTTTAAAAGTAATGTAATCATTGATAATTTTTCTCTATATTTACGGCATAAAAAGAAAATTTTAGAAAAAAAGAGTGAAATAAAAAAATTGAAAAAATTTTTTATTAATAAATATAAAAAAATAATGTTTTTATTATTAGATATTATTTATTGTTTTTTCTAATATTATCAACTAATCTAGTAGTAATATTGAAAAATAAAAATAGCACACAACAAACAAGCGAATTAATATGTCATACAACGTCAAAAAAGTAATAACCATTCGCCTCTATATTGGAGCTGCACATGTGAACAAATTGCACCAATAAACGTATTGGATTTTTAGCGTTCTCCCTTTTCCCATCGTATCGCCTTTCGGGTCGCTTTTATTATCACCTCGCCATGTCCCTGTGTTATATAGCCGTATGCGTGTCACTATTATCTTCGATTGAGATAGCTGCACTTTATACATTGTCCGCGACAGGCATTACTGTAACGCGAGACAAGAGCTGATGGAACAACGATAAAGTGGACGGACGAAACAGCAGTACGTGATACTAAAGGTGTAAACCAGGAACATTCCTCCTTGCGATTTTTCTCGCGTCCGTGATTCTTCTGAAATCGCGTGAGATAAAGATTGCTTGAATCTGCACTCTATACAGAAGAAGAATTATTCTGCGGACGTTGCTAAATCGATATGTGTTGATATATTTGAATATTTTTAAATAATTGAAATAGAAAAAAGCAATTTGCAATAGATAAATATCTCTTAAAACAGCAATCTAAAAATCCAGAAAAAATATATTGTAATAAGACGATTATATTTTTTCTATCTTTAGAGAAAAAGAATTATTCAAACAAACTCTATATTTATCTTTTTTGTTAAAATATCATATCAATCAAACTTCAAATTGTTTCTAAAAATTGTCGACTGTATTAACTTGCGAAAGTGTATTCTAAATAAATGCATTTGATGAGATCGATACAGAAATGTCACTCGGGTTGCGCTTCCGCTTTCTAAACACCAAAATATCACAAGCGACGGACTGTGTCGTGTAGAGATTTTCGAAATAAAATTATGGACGATTTTGTAGCAGTATAACAAAAAATTTATAATTGCATTTTCATCATTAACTGTGGATCTTAATGAGTACACTACCTCTAAAGCTTCTTAGCATCGTAAAAACCAAAGAATTTCGACTAAAAAGAAGAATTGCTTTTTCATTGCTTTACAGTCTGTCAATATCAGAAAAAATATCCAGTAACAAAATTCTTAAATTAAGCAATATAGTATTAAAAAGACAATAATTGTATTAGATACATTTATAAAATAATTCCTACTTTATTAGTCAAATTTACTAAATAAAATAAAATTTGAATTTAATATCTATAAAGCAACAAAATGTTTATAAAATAATATATTTATTTATAAAGTAATAAAATATATATACATTTTAAATAATGTAAATATTATTAAATTAGTTTGAGAGAATTTTTGTTCATTTAAACTGTAATTTTAAATAAACAAAGCCTCCCAAACTATATTAATGTTTATATATTTATATAGAAATATGTAGATATATCATTAGGGTCATTAATTTACATTAATGAATAAAAAGCAATTATTATTGATACAAAGTAATGTAACACTAGCAAATATGTTTATTTATGCAAATTTCGACGGGATGAATTTTGTTCCTTATCTGAAGATAAAATCTGTAATGAATATTGTTTTTAGTAATGAATATTATTATTAGCATAAACACTGTAAGCTGTCGGAAAAAGATGCGTGCTTATCACGTGTCTTTAGATCTCAATATCATGAACCGTAGCGCATCTCGTATGTTGTACGTGTAAATGAAGAAGCTTCGCAAAATGAGCATCTAATAATAATTCTATCGAAATTTTACCGAAAGAATAAATATATCTGAATAAATACAATTTTTCAGAAAACATACAATATAATACATTAAAATAGAGACACTATTTTTCTGAAAATTCACTTGTTAAATTAAAAAAGGAGAATTATTGTTATCCAGATTTAGAAAAAAGACTAAATATAGAATCTATATACGAAAAAATTTTCTTTCGATTTTAGAAAGTAAGAAATAAATTATTTGAACTATTTTTTTTAAAAGATAAAAAGATCCATATTGGGGAACATATATATTTATATATATTTCAAACAAATTTTTTGTACTTTATAAATTAAATCGAAAATGTAGGTATATAATTACAAAAATGATTAATTGATTATATACAAAAATTATCTTGAAAAAATATCCATTTTGTTATTAAAGGGTAGGTTTTAGCAATTTTATAAATTTTAAAATAAGACAAGAAATTTTTCTAGACATCTCCTTCGCCACCGCTTTAGTCCGGCGATCAAATTTTATATACCGGCTTTACAACGACGACGTCACACGCAAAATAAGATCGTTCATCGTCGGTAAAGGTTGACGCAGCGCTCACATCGTACAGCGATATGAGAGAAAGGGGAAAGGAAAGGAAGTGAGAGAAATATAGAACAAAAAATGGTTTCCACGTTGCTCTACCGCCCACGCTCCTCCCTATTTTTCATCATCCGACCTCGGTGATGCTCTCCCGACCGTTCTTTCATTTACGCGAGAGAAACAGGAGGCAAGAGCTGAAAGCTTTCTGAATTCGAGCCTTCTCTCTCTGGGTTTCGTATATCCGGGTCTTTCTCTTCCTCTCCCTCACTCTCTATTTCCTTTCGTCAGTATCCTCACGTTTCCTCTCTCGCATTAATATACCGACGACTCAGGATTAAGCACGTCTACGGTTTATCTCCTTCTTGCAATACGTTTAGGCACCTCCACACATGCCTCGACCTGCGTACTGCGCAGGATAGGATGAAAAGCTCATTTACCGAGGAGCTTTATCCTATTTCCGCCACGCGTCAACTCTCGAATCCGAGAGAGCAACTCGACGATCTTGACGAAATATGTACAGTACACGTAATAAAAACGCAGTAAAAGAATTGGATGCAAAAATCATATGACATTTGCACGACTTTGTGAAGATTCAACTTTTAAATGTGAAAATTCGAATTGATTCGAATCCATTGGCGCAGTGGAAAATTCAAGCGCCGCAGCTATTATTTCATGTAGAAAAGAAACGCAAAATGTCAAGTTGTACTTTGAACGTAAAAGGTTTCGAAGAATCGTACGGAAAGCACTGCGATAATTGGCAAAGAATCATGAAAATTTAGAAAATAGAAACTTCATTTCAGAAGAAACGGAGGTGTCACGATACTCAAGAGACTAAATGTACAGATACGATCGAATATATGCGAAACTAGGTCAGAATGCGTAATGAACACGGAAGAATGAACACATCCAAACCAAGTTTATTCGAAATATTCTTTTTATGTACCTCGCCATTTCGACGATATTCGCTCAGACAATTGGAAATACTTCTCCTTGTTAGTTTATAAGTGCCATAAAAACTGTAATTTAGTGAGTCGCACTTTGCATCGCCAATTTATTTTCGTTGCTCACGTAGATACTTTTATATTCATTATACTACTGTTGTCTTACTATCATCTCTTTTTACTATTTAAAATCTTAATGTTTTTAATTTATTTTAATTTCTTTTCTAACATTTTATTTTATCACACTAATTTTCCAATTTCTGCTGCGGTAATTAAAAATAAAAACATAAATAAATATATACTACGAATATTAATGCGACTACAAATAGAAAGCTAAATTATTTTCAGGTAGTAAAATTGCTTCTAGAAATTTCTCGTATAAAATGTACAAAAAGAATAGCTCTGCTAGAATTTACTTTATGACTCATCTTTAACGGACTCTTGAGTCATTGTCACATTCTCCAGTTTTTTCCTACCTGGCCCTTTTACTGGCCCATTTTGGTATGTTAAAATCTTACGTTATCGGTTGGACCTCTGATAGAAAACTCCGCCTCTTTAGTCAACAAAAGATCCTTCTAGCTCAGTTCGAGTTAGTCTAATTTCGTAAGCCGTACTCTCGCCATCAATCTTAGCTCGCTAGTCTGTAAGTTTGCTTGTAGCACCGTTGAATAAAACTTGATCAAAAGACAATCGTCGAACCTTTCCTCATGATTACAAGTTGTGGCGTTCTGCGCTCGTAACAACGCACGCACACACACACACACACACACACGCACGCACACACACACACACACGCACGCACGCACGCACGCACGCACGCACGCACGTACATATATATACCATATATATCTCTCTAAATTAATATACATATATATATATTTAGAATTATAAATTTTATATATATATCAAAAAATAAATGCAAAATTTATATATATGTAAATTTACATATAAATTTTGCATTACTTTTTTGATAAAATTTTAAATTCTAAATTTTTTACAGCTCGAATGAATATTTTGTTGCTAACAAGAATAAATTGAATAAAGAAGAGGGAAGCAGAAGCAGTAGTAATAGCAGAAAAAGAAAAAGAAGAAAACATGTTATCTGATAACTTAGAAACAAAGAAACCGCCTCCTAATTGGTTCATTGTGCAGGACGTAATAAATCGACAAATAGGTAGTAATCCGTTATTCCAAAGAAGATTTTATAGTTCTTTACATGCAGTAAATCGACTAGAGTTGAAGTACAAATTCTGTGATCTTGAGGTAAATTATTTATTTTGTTACATGTTGACTTATTATATACAATGTTTTATACTTTACTTTTATAGATCATTTTTATAGATTTTTTAAATCATGTATAGCGATATGTATTAAAATTTTTATTATTTATAGGATTTTACTGATGTGGAGGCCTTAAATTTCAATCAAAAAGGAAATTTATTAGCACGAGCCTCTGAAGAGTTAGTTTCCATTTGGGATTGGGCTGCAAGAAAAAAGCGTTGTTGCTTTTCAAGTGGCCATATTAGACTAAGACAGGTACGTATTTATATTATATAATATATATAAAGTATTGCTATTTGAATGTTTTGTAATAGTTATTCTGATTTAATTATATTTTTTTATTAATTTTTTTAATTTAATCGTATATGTATTTAGGCCAAATGGCTGCCTTTAGATGTAGAAAATTTTATGGTCACTTCTGGTTACGATGGTTGTATACGTTTATTAAATCTTGAATACAACTCATCGAAACAATTAATGCACTATGATTCATCCAGTCCTGATTCGCAACATGGATGTCCTTTTTCGAATTACTGGTCAGTGGCTGTGCATCCTGAAATACCCTATGTCGTGTTTTGTGCTGGACTCGATTCGATTTTATCCATAGATATCCGAGAGGATACACCAAAGTAAGTCATTGTTATTAAAAAGTTCATATGTAATAATGTTTCTTATATATTCTTTGTTTATAGCATGCAGAATGTCTACATATAATTTTTTGTGTACCAAAAATCGTTGTATTGGCTGCGTTCAGCAGACTCAACGGTTTTGCAACCGTTTTATAATTCGTCTCGCTGATTGGATTATATCTACTTTTAGATCTAAAGAAATAGTCCTATCTCAACGAAGAGTCATAAAATAGTTATAAAACTGTTGAATCTGCTGAACGCGATCGTTGTCTGGCGTTAAGTGTAGCACGGGATCGTCTTGTGTACTTATATGCAAATCAATCTCATTGTAATTGAAAGATGACTGGATCGTTATGACAGCTATAGCCCGGTTCAACCAAAATAATATTGATTTATTCGTTGAATATTATTCAACTTACTGTTAATCTTTTCCTAATTCTTATAATTGTTTCTGTTTTTTTTAATTCCAAGAATTAGAAAAACATGAACAATAAGTTAAACCGAAATTTACTTATATTGTTTGCACCGGAGCTAGTGCCTATTTTTAAAATGTAGATTAATTTTAATTTTTGTTCAACTTATACTTTGGACAAGAAAAAATGATAAGAATCTTATTGAATCGTACATTTGAAACTCAACAAACAGAAAATAGGATATGCTAGCATAAAAGATCCAGGTTCGATCATTATAACAAAAAAAGTTAAAACAAAATTAAATTTAATCTACGTTAATTAGTACAAATGAGCATAAGTCGATTAAATTCTACATAGACGCAATACTAAATTTTGACAATATTCAATACTGAAGACCGTTAATATAAGAACTTAATTAATACAAACACGAAGCCTACGCAGTCTAGCTTGGATCTTTAATTGCTTACATATACCGTGGTACTATCAGAAATTAAAACAAATGAATAATTAACTAATATACGTAGTCCCCCAAACTGCGCGTCGAACAATCGTTGGTCTTGAAACGCAATTCTAATAATCTGAAAATACTAAATCTGGAAATAATTCTTCTTATTGTGAAAAATATTACCTCGGCCGGGAGTCGAACTCGAATACCTTGCTTTACGCGCAAGTGTCCTAGCCAATTAGACTACCGAGGCCTTAGTAATATTCTTCGCAATAACTTGTTTTAATTGGTGATAATACCGCGGTAGTTTGTAAACAATTAAAGATCCAAGCTAGACTATTATAGGCTTCGTGTTTGTATTAGTTATACTAATAAATTTTGAGTTTACATGATAAAAGTGTTTATTTTTTATCTGTAATACACATGTTATATATATCCATTATAATATTATATACATTTACGTTCATATCCATAGATTGCTTGATATAAAGAGCCCTCGAAATAGTAAATTAAATAGTATACATTGTAATCCTTCTAATAGTAATGAATTTTGTGTTGGCGGTGATTTTCCCTGCGTAAGGGTGTATGATCAGCGAAATATTTCGAAACCACTTTATCAATTATGGACCACCAAGTATAACAGGGTATGTATTAGTTTGTTTCAACCCTATTACTAAAAAGTTTATCAATATTTAAAGAAATACTACAGTATTTATGTTTTTTACATGAGTTTTAATTACATATGTAATTTAAATGTATTAGAAGGATCGTGACGCCTTTGCAACAAATACCATGTATAATCACGATGGAACAGAGATTCTCACATTGTGTAATTGCTGTGAAATATTATTATTTGATAAATCAATGTGGTCATGTGGAGGAAATTCGAATCATACATTATTTGAACGCCATCAATTTAGTTCTGTACCTGGTGAAATGGACGAGAGACATGTTAGATGTAATTATATTATTATTATTATATATTCCCGGCATTTTATTTTTTTTTATTCTTAGAATTTTTTATTTTATGTATATTTCAAAAGAGAAGAAGCATACAGTAAGATTATTCAATGGTTTATTTGTTGATTAATTTTTATTCTGAGATTATTGTTTAAAAATTTTTTTATGTACATTTTTTATATTTTTTTCCGTATATGTAATTGAAAAAGCGACGCTTTAAATAATTCTGATTTATTAATAGTTGATATTAAGTTGTCTCAGTTATGTGTTGTGATTGCAGCGATACATGAAGTCAATTTTTTCGGACCTAACAGTGAATTTATTATATCTCCATCCCGTTATGGTGATATATTCATTTTTGACAAGAAAAGAAAAACTGCGGCACAGTGGTTGATAGGAGATTACAAATTCGTTAAGTATTTTCATTTTGTGCATTTGATAAACAAATTTTTCTTTTTCGTAGTATGTGTTGCAAAATAACTTTTATTCATTTAATGTATAGGTGAGTACTCATCTTTGCTTAGGTCATCCCCATATTCCTATCCTTGCAACGGCAAGTGAGTCCGATGTCCTGATATGGATGCCTTCGAGTAATAAAGATCCAACAGAATCAACATTTAAGACTGTATGTATAGACAATAATTATCTGTGTGTTTTTTTTGCATTTTCTTTTTCTTGCTTAATCATATAATTTAATAAATAAATAACATAATTTTTAAAATAACGTCACTAAAATAAGCAATATAGTTGAATACAATAGATTAGTGGTACCAATAAACCATAAAATTATGATTTATGCATTTCCTGTTCTTCATAAGTACATCAAGTTCAGTAGAATAGAAGGCAAGCATATAACGATTTCTTTTTCCGATTACTTGCATTACAAAGATATATTTGTCATAGAGAGTTTGTGAAAGTAAGTTTGTTCGCCTTATTCACATTTTTTACACTAAGCATTTTGTCTTCTTTCTCTTCACTCACACACACCCACACGCACGCACTACGTCCAATATATATCAGGAAATGGAAAATTACTCTTTTTAAAATTATTAAGTTACAGTTACTCGTTATAGAGTTAAAAAAGTAACGAGTTACCGTTACTAATTATCGCTTTTTAAAGTAACTCATTACAGTTACCGTTACTCAAAAGGTAACTTTTCGTTACGTTTCCGTTACTTTTTAAAAATTAGTCTGAAAATGTACTTTTGCAGTATTTTTTGTTCAAACGTTAATAGAAGCAATATGTACATATATAAATAACACTGACACTATGTATAGTTTTATTTTTTAGTTTTTTTTAAACACAATTTCGTAATTCTAAAACCTGTAAAATATGCAGCAAACTGAGATATACACATGTCCGATGTATCACATAGATAAAAGATAGAAGTGCAAAATAATTTCTGAAATAATGGTACTGTATATATTTCTTAGCTATCAAAGATCACTTCAGGATCGCTAGCAGTTGACAACTGTTAAGTTATTTCAGGAATTTTTTTATACTTTTTAGAAAACTGGAAGATTATATAGGATTGTATAGGACTATCTGAATTACAATATAAGTTAGAAATTAAAAGGAAAATTAAGAAATACACATAATCTGTATTACAGTTATATTTTTACTTAATCTATACTACTTTTAGCTGTATATCAAATATTTTGATAGAAAGAAAATTATAACGCTATATAATTAAAATATATAACAGAAGTTTTGCAAAAGAGATGTTTTGCAATTGCTCGACATAAATGTACACAGAAATGTACAGAGTAAAGTTACACAGCTCAATTAGAACAAATGTGTACGATGTTTAGATTAAGTTAAACTAAATGCTTGTACGCCTGTATTAAATAAAAACATTCAATGTACAACCACATTTATAGCTGTCGTAATTAATAACATGTAATTGTTATGATATGATAGAATAACGTGTCCAATCGTATGCAAAGTAACGATAAAAGTAACTGTAAATTTCGTTACCGTTATCCAAAAAATGTAACTACGTTACACAGTTACCAAAAGAAAGAAAATGACGCAGTTACCAATAAAGTTACCAAAAAAATAACTTGTAACTGACTTCGTTATAAGTAATGAGTTACTTCCATTCCCTGATATATATTTATCTCATTTTAAGTGTAAAAGTATAAGCCGTGTAAGCAAGGCAAACGAACTTATTATTGTGTCATAGATATGTCGATATTAAATTGACTATTTTGTGTCTTTTCTAGTATCTTCATGAAGATTTCTACGACTTAAATTATTTAAGCGACGATGACTACAATGATAGCGATTATTCCGACGATTCCTACAGTGAGTCGGAAGATAGTCACGTCCGAGGTGCCAGTGAATCACCAGTGAATCGCGGATGGGAGGCGTATGTTATTTTATATCTTTTGTTTTTTGGTTTTTTGGGGATTCTGTTAATATATATTGTAAGTGACGAATCACAGTGGGATGAGATAGCTACTTTTTTTCCAAAATTAATATCTCTGTAAATAGAATAGTTAAGAATATGCAATAATTATTTTTGTGTTCCTAAATAGTTATTCTTTGATTTTTACACATATGTATACATGTATTTTATTTTATGATAGCTTTTTGTGCAACAAATATTTATATAAATAATTTTTTAATAACTAAATGTAAGCTTCTTAAATATTCCATTTATTATTAATTATTCGTTATAATCATCATTCTTATTGTCGAATAACAATAAATATAATTACACAAAAAGTACGTTATTGTTGCTACAACTTAAAATAATAATATTTTTCGCCCATCAATGTTATTTATAAGAACTGTAGTCCGGTTGTGGCGACTATAAGGTTTTTTCCGTATATACACATTAAAATATTGATATTTTACTAATGTACATGTACCTCTAATCCAACAAAAGATCAAATACATCGGGATGAAAATCGAGTTTCTTCTTTGACAAAATTTTCCTTTTTTCCGATACTATTGGGTCTGAAGTAATGAGGAGCATATGTATGACGTCTGCATTTGTAGCAATTCTTGATCGTTTTCTTGAGTGATGTAGGCGTATGCTTCTGTAATTTTCATGTCTTGCTTCCAGAGCTTCTTCCGATAGTTGACCGATTGGATATGATAATGATTCAATTACTGCTGAGCTATGAATTAAAATTTTATGTAATCATGATGGCATGTAATATCATCCATATAACTCAACATATAATTTGAATGTGTCTAATGCGTATGCATCGAATTTTTTTGTATCTATACACTTTCCACTTGATAGGACTTGGAGTATCACCGAAAATCGTTCAATTAATCGTTTGTCGATCTTTGTTATGCGAGAAGTAACTTCTGGATCAGAAAAAAATCGTCTTGCGGTATTACCATCATTAGAAGTTCCAGAACCTTGTCTAGGAACATCTATTATTAAACCTAATTGTCGAAATTAATTTTGAATACGCTGCTTTTCTGCTGCTTTTTGTTTCTTTTCTTCGATTCCTTTTACCATCCATTTCCGAAAAGACAAATTATATGCAATATGGAGTACACATTCCATAGTTTTTATCCAGGCATGTAAAGTCGACAAACCAAATTCATAATTTTTATCATAAATATTTTTTCTGTAGGATTTGCTTGACAGATGATACAAGTTGCGGCAGATGGAGTAGATGTGATTGCCTAGCTGGGCTATACTTTGTCATCAATCATTGTAAGAAGAAAAACATGTTTGATTGAAGAATTTTGACCCAAGACAGTTTTATAAATTGTTTCTGAAAGTTGCGAAATTTTTAATTTCATATTTCCTGCTTCAGTAACTATTTTTTCATATGATCCTTTGGAAAATTCGAATTTGATTGATCTGCAGTATCTTACTGACAAAGGTAGTGGATTTTTTCATGTAACTGTATCATTTCTTGAAATATTCAAAGGTACCGCTGATATAACAAATAGATCAGAATCAGAAACATCAGCGACATTAAATGCTTGTTTATATTCTGCCTGGCCCGATGAACCATCACAACCCCATTTCCAAGTCATCATCAATTGATTCTCAGGCAAAGTTAGTAATATACTTTCTTTCAAAGAAAGAATTCTCGATACGGTATGATCTACAAGAGATTGTAATTCTACACTAGCTCCAGTTTCATCGACTTGTACCTATATTTTCAGGGTAACATTTCTTCTTATATGTATATACCTTACTATATGGAGGAAATAACGAACTATTATGTGCGATTGCAATCTGTCGTAATTTCAAGTATTGCTCTTTAGAAAGATTTAAATCAATCAGGAGCGCCAAAGCTTCTTCGGAATTCAAGAGGGTATTTCTGATTTTGCGTTTGTTGCATTTTTTGCCTTCATATTGTATGCATAGTTTATTTTTTCCATGCCATGCTTTTCAAAGATCTAGAGCTTTGTGTCTCTTTTACTACTAATAGAACAATCTTCAAAATTAATTGTAGGTCTACCTACAGAATATGAAGTCGGTCTGCTAAAAGAAACAGCAGTATCCACTTTGAGAACAAATTCTTCTTGAAGCCATGCTTTATGCTTGGTAAAAAAAATTTCTCTTAGAAAATTTACTCTTCTTCCATCTTCGCAAAAAGAGTTTGTGAAAATTTTCATATTTATCTTTTATTAATTGTACATAGTCATTTGACAACGCAAATTTATTCTTCGACTGCACTGCTAATGTGTTAAGATCTTTATCAAATTGTAATAGGATCGTAACTAATTTTTCTTTTTTAATTCGATATTCCATTCTCATTAAAACTTCTAATTGTATATAGCACGATATATGTATAGTCACCAAATCAGAAACGCACACGAATAAGTTCATGTTGCAAAGCATTAACTGAGACTGAATCAAACAAAAGAAAATGCATTTAAACAATTGAAGTCACTCAAATGTTTTAACTAAAGGCGCCAACTATGTGGCACGCAAAAACGTTCTCAGTGTTACCACTCTTTCTGTCAGCAAAAACAAATTCGCGTTTTGTGCAGATTTACGAATAATTTTAAAGGAAGTATTCTCTTAGATATATTTTAGAAACATTATAAATAACAACATTTTATGTTCAGTAAGCAATTATTAACATTTTTTCTTTGTTGAATTATTGTTTTCGCATATATTGTGTATACTGTAGAATATTGCGATAGAACCAAGGTTCTAGAATATTGCGTTTTAATGCGACCCGGGCACGCCAAGTTTTTTCTTCACTATAATCCAGTTGACAATTATAGTCACTTTCGGTCTGTCTTATGTGACTGGCGTAATAAAGAATACTTGGTCAATTATATTTATCTCATATCTGTTTTTGATCAAGAAGTTCAATATCTTTTTTATGCACTTAGCGTATGTTTTTTCTTTTTTTAAAAAAATGTTTTTTAAGAGTTTATATTTGTTTGAAAGTTAATACATGTAAATAAAGATTATAATTAACACAAAATAAACGTATTTCAATTAAACATATTTAAAAAAATCACGTTTCTTCCAGAATTTTAATTAATTTTTATCATAATTAATCAGAAATATATATTATAATGATTTATCATGATAAAATGTGATTTTTTATTTTGGTTTCTTTTTATTTATATTGTTCTTAACCTAACAATATTTTATAACTTATTAGAATAAGTTTTAATGTTTAGAATATTTCAGTTTTTGCATTTGCAATTTCGCTTTCACTTATATTTGTTTATATTATTTATCCGACAATTTATACGAGTGCATATACATGGATGATATATGGTAAATAACGAGAAAAAGAGAGAGAAAGAGAAACATATTTTAATTAATAAAATAAATAATGTTTTTAAGAGAGCATGCTGTGTGGGGTTTACTTATTCACTTTTTAATTATTTAAATATGTTCAACAATTTATTATAACAAATAAAAATAGGATAATTTATTACAATATATAGGATTTATTTGTTACTTGTCTTTTTTATAACCTTTAATTACTCATATTAAAAAAATTAATTTTTCCTAAATGATATCTAGTGATTATTTTAATAAATGGATATGTTGTTTAAAATTTGCAATCATGCATTTATTTACACATTAAGGCTATCCACATACATTCAAATAAACTTCAAATAAACTGATCAAATGGCTTGTGCATTCATATTTGACAAGTTTATTGGAATGTGTGGCCGAAGAACAAATCAAGGTACAATAGTTATTAACTAATTGATATAATGTAGCATATATACATCTAAAAATGAGATAGTTAATATTAATAAAATATATAAATTTATAAAATTATATTTCTATCGCATTTTATACGATATGATATTTATATTGTCATATACACACAGATAAGTCAATCAAAAAGAAAAGGTTATCAAATATCAATAATATACGTAGCACAATTAGAGTTATAAAACATTTCTAAGTATTTTTAGCTAATTTTTTCCTCATTAAAACCATTCTACTTGATATTTTTGTCTAAAAATTATATAAATGTTTTTTCATATTATATATATTCAGTTATTAAGGGACTGTACATAAATAAAAGATCTATGCTACACGAAAAGAACAATTTGGCTGAAAGCAAAAAAGATCTAAAATTTCCTAGACTAAAAGATTATATTCTATAAATAATTTTTTGAAAACTCAAGTCAATTATTTAAAATATTAAATTTTTTGCAACATTGTTGCTCTTTTTTTAATTTTCAATATAATTATTTTGGTAATCCAATAAAATTATTTTTATATATATATAATAGGTCTATATCTAACAAAAATTTAAATTTTTCAGCGAAATTATTGTACAATGTGTATAAATATACATATATATGTATATATACATATATATATAGATATATATATATATACACGTAAATGTGTGTGTGTGTGTGTGTGTATATATATAATATATACATATTTATATTAAAGATTTACAGTTTCATTGAACAAATTACTGTAAGCACAGATATACATAATGATATACATTCCCTAAAAATTACCTTCCGCCTAAATTATATATAAAACTATTTTTAATATTAATTTTATTTTCAAAATGATTTTTTTTATTAAAAATATATCATTTTAATAGCGTTAAGGCTTGTAACTTTGCTTCAATTTTGATCTTAAAATTTTTCCGCTCGGATTCTTCGGAATATTATCAACAAATGTGATTCCACCTAAGAAAAAGAAAAACAAATATAATGCACGAATTGTTCTAATAAAGTTTTTAGTTTTATCTATCTATAATTCTTATTGAATCTAGTTTAATCGAATTACGTGTAACAATTACTTTTTTCTCTAAGTTTTCTTTAAGTATTAGCAATATTTCTTTGGATATATACTCTATTCTAAGATAATAACTGTCCTAAAACTACATGCAGCAATCTATTGCTATGCTAATTAAACTAATCGCGTACAATTAAAAATGTTGAACAGTTAAAAGGGATCAAGTCATACCTCTCAATTGCTTGTAATCGGAAACCTTTCCTTTTATGAAGTTCTTAATGTCGTTCTCCATGGGGTTTTTACTTTTCTTCACCACTACAAACGCTTTCGGTACCTCACCATACCTCTCGTGCGGAATACCAATCACTGCTGCTTCCTCCACGTCAGGGTGCATCCGTAGCAACGCTTCTAGCTCCGCTGGTGGTACCTTTGACCAAGCAAAAATAACGTTAAATTGAAGCACGTTCTAAAATACTTTAAACGCCGCCGAGAAATAAAGTACCAAATCGTAAAACTTTAAAACTTTGTGGTAATTGATGATATTTTAGATATATTACAACTGTTATTTATCAATAAATAAAATAGCAAATGTTTTAATAATAAATCAAAATGAATAGAGAAAAGATGAGATTAATATAATATTACTTACAGTAAATTACATTACATTACAAATTTTTTTCTACTTAAAAGTATAATAATATATCCTGCAGATTTTAAGAAAATTCACGATTTATTTTCTTTATAAAAAATTCCCAAAGGTGTCCTTCTTATTCTGAACCGTTATAATATTTTCCCTCTTTAAATAATTCTTACAACATAAAATAATAATATTCAAATTATGAGATAATTTATAATCAATAAATAAATACTATATCAGATTTATGTATAAATATCAGAAAAAAAGAGGATTTTTTATTTATATATCTATGTATAAAACCAATGCTTTTTAAAATTATTTATACAATTAGAGTTTACTTATCACATATCAATCAACATTGTAAAAAATATATATCTTCTTATTTAAAGAATTATATCAAATTAATTACACTATAATTGTAAGATTCTTATTGAAATGAAAAGAGAAAGCTCTTTTTTGTCAGACTAAATCATTACCTGAAATCCTTTGACTTTAATAAGTTCCTTTAATCTATCTGTAATATAAAAATCAAAATCTTCATCATAATAAGCAATATCGCCCGTTTTTAGCCATCCATCCTCGGTTAGAGTATTCTTTGTAGCATCTTCGTCATTCAGATACCCTTTCATAACGTGTGGTCCTTTGATCCATAATTCGCCCGTTTGACCACTAGTACTGACATCCTTCTGTGTCGTTACATCCACCAAGCGTACTTGGCAACTCGCTATATTTTTTCCGATGCTAGAATATTTCTCTCCAAGTTCAATGAAGTTCACTGGCGAAGATTCTGTTAATCCGTAACCTTAAAGAAACACCACAAAACTTTAAATAATCAAACTTAATACCAAAGTAAATATTTTGTTACATTTCATCAATTTTCTTTTTTCTTCTTTTTTATATTTAGATATACTGAAAGAAAAGATTGGCTGCTGCAGTAAAATACAAAATGCTTTATAATAAAGAATTTAAATCAAAATAAGTAATCTTTAAATTATAATAAATAATTACTATAAAGATAAATATGTTGTGAAATTCAACGACGAGAAAACAATTCTACGAAAAAAATTACAATCTGATATAAAAAAAACAGATTTGCAATGCGTTACTGATGCGCTGTTTGAATTGTCAAACCATCTCTGAGGTCAAAAATAATTTTGCTGAATAGAAATTATGTTTATATAACTGCTGAATAAGTTACAAATTTATATATCTAAATAAAATCTGTCTGCGAAAAATATGAATAGATTTTGTTGTTTAATGCTGGCACTTTTTTCAAATAAAATTAATTTGTCAAATTTTACGAACTCGAATGTGCATCAAACAAGAGTAAAATTTAATGCAACGCCACTCTCGATACGACGAACTTTATTCGACTGCGCCGATTCGTTGGATCTCGTTAAAAATTGAATGTATACACCGCTTGTTCGAGCTCAAGCTTGCAAAGCCCACAAATGCAAAACTCGTCCACCCTCCTCTTCCCTCTCCTCGACATTTCTATTTCCACCAGAAAAAAATATATATATATCTGAGCTTTCAAAGCTCGCACACGTCGAAACGCGATCCCGAAATTCGATCCAAAAAACTCGATAAATATCTCGTTCGTTCGTGGATTGTGAATTTTGTTTCGATTTTGGCTCGATTTTATAGACACCCACCTTGACGGAATTGGCAGATTTTTGAGTCGACGTTGTACTTCTCGTAGAATCTATCGACGTCCGTTTTAGCGAGCGGCGCGGCGCCACTCATTATCAAATGCACATGATCGAAATGATGATTCTTCACAAGAGAGGAAGCCGTAAGAAATAACACTATGGGAGGAACACAAAACAGCGCGGTCACCTGTGAAGTGCCAATTCGTCGCGAATTTAATCCTTTTATAATTTTTTTTTTACATTCACAAAAACAATTACATTTTTCTATAATTGATGATATAAAAACATAATCATAAAAAGATTTCTTTTTCTTTACATTAATTTAAACATATTTACAGACAATTAAGCTTAATTTGTCATTCTGACATAGAAACTTTTTATTTAAAAAGCTTATTAAAATAAAATATCTAAAGAGGAAATTTATTTTTGAACATAACAGACGATAATTTACCTTGTTTTTTTGTAATATGTCGGTGAATATTTCCGGTACAAATTTTGGAATGGTGATTATTTTTGCTCCAAAAGCAAGACGTGGAAGTATCACAGCATTCATTCCATAAATATGGAAAAATGGTAAAATGGCAGGTACTACTTCTTGAAATGTGCCTGAAAAAAATTAAAATGTTTTAATATGTAATAGAGTGATTGTAGAAGATAGGAAATCATTTCAAATAAATGATTTTGCAGATAAGAATATCGGATTTTGTGAATACATATGTATACATATAATCAACATACAAATATATCAATTTAAAATTCGAACAATTTGAAAATCATGTCAAAAAGGCTGAAGTAATACACTACTCAACAAAATTAAAGCATCAACTGTTCCACCCTACAAAAATAACGAGAAAAAACTTACACAAACTTCATAAATCTTAAAATTTTAAATATGAAATTTGTGAGGTACAAATTTCGTATTTAAAATTTTAAGATTTGATGCATCTTTATTTTTGTTTGTGTAATTTTATGAAATATCGGTAAGATTGTTTTTTAAATAATAACTGTTCTGAAAAGTACAGATTTCAAGCTTTAAAATGCTTTTTTAAACATTTCGATATGATGATTTTTAACAAAGTTATTCTACCTTGAAGTATGTCTATTTTTGCAGGATAGAATAGGTGATGCTTCAATTTTGTTGAATAGTATAATTCGTTAAATAAAATAAAAGTTACTTGTAGGAAACTGAAATATGTCGACAGAGGATTGAACCATCATTATATTAGACACTAGATTGCGATGTCTTAACATAACACCCTTTGGTAATCCAGTCGTACCACTTGAAAATGGTAAAATTGCTACGTCATCACAAGTTGTGTCCGAATTCACAGGTGGCAATGATTTACCTCGCGTTATGAGATCCTGAAAAATTTTACATGTTTATATTTTTACTTAACTTTTTCTTTGGCAATTTTTAAATATTTTTGATTAATTCGCTTAAAATCTATTTTAATACTGACAGAAAAAGGTATGGAACCCTCCGGCATAGAACCAGTCTTATCGTCAATCACAATAAAAGGAGTTTCATGTGAAAGACATGCCCTTTTTGCAGCGAGCGCTGTAGATGCAACTGAGGTGGAAGTGATGACTGCTTTTGCATTGGCTTTCAATAGCTGAGTCATCATTTCCTCTGAAAATTTTCATTATGTCTATCAATATTACAATACACTTTGACCTACTTCCTTATCTTATTTTTATCTTATATAAGTTGAAAATATTTATTGAAAATTATTGTTGAAAATCTATATTATGTAAACCTCAAATAAAATAATATATTTATTGAAGTAAACCAATGAAGAACCAATTAATGAGAACAGGTCATAACGGTCTTTTATAAGGTAATATTTTTCACAATGAAAATTAATTATTTACAGATTTTAATATGTCATTCAACATTATTAAGATCGATCTAAGGTGCGCATAGAGCATCAAAAATTGTTAAATTTTTAGTTAATTTAACTCGTGATATTACTGCGGTAGTTTATTAGAGCTTGCAAGTTCGAAAAAACTTGGAGCGCAAATAAAAAATCTATATACGTAGTACATAAATTTACACAAAATTATATAGTAACACCTAAGATCTAGCTTGACCATTACAGCCTGTTCTCATCGATTTATTGGTTTAAATATTCACGGTACTTTAAGATTTAATATTATATATATATTTAATGTAAAACTTACCTGCTGTATACATCGGATTTACAGTAGTAACAGTAAATCCACCTGACAAGATTCCAAGGAAACTTAAAATTGTGTCTGGAAAATTGGGTGCCACTAGTGCTACCACATCGCCCTTTTTGAGACCTATGTTCCGCAAACTTCTACCGATATAACTTGTCGCATCTTTGGCTTGCGCAAATGTGTATTTTTGGCCATTTATACCACATTCCTGCAAAATATGTTATAAAATTTATATCGTATCTACATTCTCCACACCGTACATTTACCGGTTACAAATAAACCTAACAGTTAATTGTGCTTACATTTGATTATATTTTCCATCTTTGCTAGCATTCTTTCTTGATTTTTCCATATACACGCACAATTTCCCCCCACATTAAAATTTGTTAAATAATTCATATTGGTCTGTTTAAAAAAGATGACGCGATTAGTGTTAGAAACGTTCTACGCACACAAATAGAATATCTATCGTACATAAAATGGAAATCTAATAAATCAGAAAATTACCAAAGCAATATGATTAGGATAACGCTCGCTGTTATTCCAAACAAACTCATGGATCAAGGTTTCAGGATAAGTAATATCACCACTCGGAGACATAATAATCCTCTCGTTATTTGGTCCCGTCACAATTCTGGTTTGCTTCGAGGTCGATGCACGCCTTAATGTAGAGTTCAGAGTCCTTATTCCTGCATTCAGTACTCGACTCAGCCTCTGGATACCACGAAATGCGTGTGTTGCCATACTTGTATAATGCACTACTAATTTATCAGTAATTAATTACACAACTCGTAATCTGCAAGCGTAGTAGACAAATTAATGATAATGAAATCATAAAATAAAGATATACTATAATAATTTTATATATTAAAAATAATTGTAGAAATGTTAGTATTGACAAAATAATATAATACATTGAGTTATATATACATGTTATCGAACCTTTTTTATTACATGTTTTGAATTAAATCGCATATAAACTTCGCAAGAAATACGATTTATAATACATAATTTTTTTTTTCAGAAAAGAATTTATTACAGAAATGCTACAGGTATATAATATGTATACATATATATGCAAGATTTAAATATAAATAAGTAAAATATTTACTAAAATGGTTTCGACATAAAATGTGTTATGTTTATTATTATATAATGTAGAAATTCAATATAAAAATATGAAATATGAATATTTGTTTTGCAAATAAAAATCTACAATTATGTAATTAATTATCATGCAATTGAATGATACATGATTTACAGAAAAAAAACTGCGTAGTTACTGTCGCGCAGTCAGTAAATATAGTATGAGTATTTTAAGCGTTATATTCATTCGCAAATTTATATACTTACTCATTATCGCGACACTTTTTCATATATTATACTAAATACTTTTATAATCGACTATATTATTACTTCTTTTTTATATAAATACAAAAGTCATCCAAACAAAAAACTTTTATTTTCATACCGAATAAATCTATTTTTTATTAAAATTAATAATCTTTATGTACATATATGTATATATGTGTGTATACATATGTATTAAAGATTTGAAGAAAACAAACAATAAAAAATTATAAAAGAATAAAATGAATTTTGTTGTTCTTGTTATATAACATAATAAAAAAACGAAAAAAAGGAATAAAAATAAATTTCAATGCATTTTATGCAAATCAAGAAATTGATCACTACAATATTAAATACAATATTGAAGTAACGGAAAAAAAAACAGAAATGAAAAATTATAAAAGATTAAAGTAAATTCTTCTAAGCTCGTTACGCAATAGAAAAGTAAAAAGAAAAATATATAAATAAACGCGACGTTACTTATTTAATTCAAGAAATTGACTATTCATATATGATACATTAAATTGTTTTATGATATTATTATCAGAAATAATTTCCAGAATTAAAATTCTTTCTTTTATTATCAAATCTTATTGGACCGAGAACTGTTTTAAACTAAATAACGATGAGAACATTCTGTAATGGTCAAACTGAATCTTGGATGCTTTTAATATAATTTCGTGTAAATTTATATACTATACTTATGCAGATTCTTAAATGCGCGCCTAAATTTTTTTCAACGTAATGCCGTTGCAAGATCCGGCCTCAGTAGTCTAAAGGCTTAGGACGCATCGAATGCTAAAGATCTGGGTTCGACGTCCGACCGAGGTAATATTTTTTGCAATATAAAATAATTATTTACAGATTTTTAATATGTCATTCATAGATTTTAATGTCATTCAACATTATTAAGATCCAAGGTGCTATGAGCATCAAAATTGTTAGATCAAATGTCAATGTACGTGATAGTACTGCGGTAGTTTATTAGAGTTTGCGTTGTAAGTCTGAAAAAAATTTCGGCGTGCATTTAAGAATCTACATACGTAGTATATCTACATACATGTAATCTACATACGTAGTATATAAAATTCACACGGAATTATATTAAAAGCATCCAAGATCCAGCTTGACCGTTACGGCATATGTTCCCACGATATTCTTTCTTTTATTTTTCCTTTTTAAATAAAGAAGTTTCATTAGTGCATCGTTAATCGTATTAAAAAATTTCAATGAATTTTACAATGCTAAAATAAAAACGCTAAAATTTTACTTTGAATAGTTTCTTAAAAAAGTATGTAACAAAGTCCATTACATATAAAATTCATCAAAAATATGCGTGTAATACTAGTTCATTGTGTTTTCAAAACGGTTGTTATACATTACTTCTAAATCGTTACGAAGAAAATTGTGATAGCTTAATAATTATTTTAAAAAGAGATACACACATTTTGAAAATATTTTTAACACACAGTAGATGAAAACTCACATCTGTATACATATAACTATTTTTATATATAGTAAGTTCTTTATATAAATACAATATCTTAGTTTTATAAAGACATAACTTTATATAAAATTTAATAATATTCTCGATGAAAAAGTTGATATCATATGTATTATAATTTCTGTTTCAACGATTATAATAACTACATTTTGCGATAACAAATGAACTTTGTGAATTTATCGGTATCTCTTTATATTCTCTGCTTCGTCGTTTTTTAAATTGTTATACTCTATGGGTATTAATATCAGGGACATGTCTACCTCAATTGATATGAATACACCGATTACGAATGTAAACATGCTTACTCATATCCTAAGAATTGAAAAATAATTAAAGTTAAGAGCGTAGAATTTTAACATTACACTGTAAAAAATAAAATATTAATTTTAACTCAAAGACGTTGAGTAGATTTTCATGCAAAAATGTTAACATTAACACCAAAATGTTAATTTTAACATTTTAGCATATCTCAGAAAATCCACTCAACGTCTTTGAGGTAAAATTAACATTTTATGTTTTACAGTGTAATTAATCACATAACGTATAAATTGTCAAATGTGTAAGAATTGCTTTAATTGCTTTTTTAAGTTGCCAATATGTTCATTATTGTCAATTAAAAAATCCAATTTTCAAACGTATATTTTTAAACACTAAAGTATTTTTTATCTCTTTAAAGAGAGGCTCATTTATGAAAAAATTATTCATGTAAATATTATAGTATAATTCTATTAAATATCTGTAGTATTTATTAATACTGTCTCTTTCTACAGAGGAATGTATCTCTTATCTACTTTTTATTTTATTTTATGCAGTATAATATTTGCATTAATTATAATGTAAAGAATATCATGTTGAATAAAAAGTTTTATTCATTTTGTTTATATATATGTGTGTGTGTATATATATATACATATATGTATAAACCATGTATTTACATTACTTTTTCTTATTTATAATTACATACAGTGTAAAAAAGATTTTACAATAAAAAACAATTTTCTTTATAAAAATATACATTACTTAAAATATTTATTTGATACTATAAAATTCAAGAATTGTATCGATAAAAAATACATTTGTTTTCCGACTTCACAGATAAAACCATTTTTAATTTAACTGTTCAAATATTAGTTTGAGATATGACGGATATAATTATCTTTCCACTTCGATATCATGAAACTTTATATATTCAATGAAATTTAGTTCTATTCCATAATTAATAAATGTCAATAGCTTTTAGCAAACAATATTGTTATTATTGTATGTACAGTGACAAATGGTGTAAGAATTAAAGATTAAGTGAATGTGTAAATGATTTCGCGCTCATATGTATACGTAAACAAACATATATATATATATATACACATCCAAGTTCATGTGTTGCATGTTATGTTATAATTCAATATGCAGGTTTTATTTAAAAAGAAATAAATTTTAAAATAAACAAATAAATCAACTTTCATTTGATATTTATTGAAGCTTACTGTCCCTTTGTATCTCGACAAAAATAATATCGCACATCGATAGAATGTTAACATGATGGTATTGTTAATTATCATACATTACGTTGTATTATATTCCGCATACTTCATTATGACATACATGCAGATCAAAGTACAATCAGTACGAACGTTTAGATAATGCCTCTATTTTGCTTATTGTTATAAAAATTTTTTTACATAATTCATATTTATGGATTTATATGTACATAAATTTTTCATTCGTCATCCTCGCTTGACAAAATTAAATTATATTATTTTCAATCTCTTCGTCAGTTCAAATAAATGATCACATAAACACTACGTCATTGTGTATACATATATATATATGTTTGACAGAAGATAGTACTGTGTTTGATAAATATATATATATTTTTTTAACATACATTTTCTCATGTGACTTTATAATTAATGTTTAAAATTAATTTACTCAATATAAAAATGAATTAAACGAGTTTTTATTTCGTCTTTTAACATAGCGTATTTTTGTTGCAAAACATCACTTTTAGTATTCTATAATATATGCTAAATACCTTACTAAATAATTTATTACATTTTCAAAAATCACGATGCTATAAATTTAAATTGAATAGTCTCTTACGCCACTTGTTTCTTTCCGAGTGCAGTAGATCGCGGTTGATCTATTTTTAGAAATGTTTAGAAAGTTATTTCATTGACGGTAATATCTCATGATGTTTTAACAAGAAATATAACATCACAATATTGAAACGCTCTAAAATTAAAGACTTGCAATTTTTGCGCGCACATAATATGTATGTTATTTCACTCGCGCAAACTGAGCAACTGCCAATTAGATCGCCGTCGATCGGTCGTAATTTACTGACGTTTACGTGGCCGATTTCACTGGCAGACTGTCGAGTTTTCTTCAGACGAAGAGATATCGTCTGACTCCCCACCATCGACTTCTCATACTGAAGTATGACAGGCAAACAAGAAAAGAAGGAAAATGAAAATAACTAATTCTATATATTGTACTGTAACGAACTAAACGTCCTATGAAATTGATGATAAAATATATCAACAGTTATAAGTCGTGTACAGCAACTATCGACATCTTGAATTTATAAAAATGATTTTTCTTGAAAATAGTCTTCATACCTGCTTTATTAGTTGGTACAATGTAATGATACAACAAAAGAATTTTTTAATTATGTAAAAATATTTATTATGGAAAGACCAATAATAGATGTAAAAAAATAGTAAAAAAGTTTATTAAAAAATACTGAGGAAAATCAAATATCATTATTTTTAAGATATAAAAGATTTATTAATATGTGTGTGTGATTACTTTAGAAATAAATTACGATTTTAAAATAATAATTAGGTTTAAATATATATTAAATTTTGAATTAAGTTTCTTTTTTTTCCAGAATTCTGCTATTTTTATTAAAAAATTGTAAAATATTTAATTTAACAGAAAGAGTATGATAAAAAGGGATAATTTCTCTCTCTCGAATCAGTTCTTCACTTTTGAGTTAAAATTAGTCCTAGAAAAATTTAAATCGATAACAATACATAAACTCGTAATAAATAGTAAACACATAATTATTTGATATTGTACAATAAAATAAGGTTATAAAATTTACTTGTAAAATCTTTTGATTAGAATGTATAAATAAGTCTATAAGTTATGTTATATTTATAATTGTACAGATAACAATAACACATATTTTTACAATATATAATAAGAATTTTTCCAAATCTAACATATAATGTAAGATTTTATACACATTTTATAATTTAAAATCTAGTGTATTCCTTAAATTATAATATTATTTCTTTTATATTATACAGTTTTTTTTTCAAATTATGTTTAATGCTATGTCAATATTACTATTCATTCAATATTAATATGATAAAATACCATTTGATACGCATAACAATGATATTTACGATTTAACGATATACTTGTAATATTTCAGAACTTCTTTTTAACATTTAGTGCCATTCAGCAATAATTAATTTCTTATAAGCAATAATGAATTTATTAATAGTACAGCAAGTATAGTAAAATTTAATATATTGTATATCGTGAAATCAATAAACTACATGCATTTATGGATTTTTGTACTAATTGATACTCGTGAATTGATATTTTAAAATAACGACAAACTTTATGTTATATCGTGTTATTTATTATTAACACGCTAAAATAAATAATTTAATTTAATTATTAAAGCAATTCAATACTAAACATGTAATTTTGGCGAGATTATTATTATTCCAGTGATATAAAATCGTATTTGAATTTATATTGCATGACTTTGCATAAAAATGACTATAAATATAATTAGTAGAAACAGGAAAAGATTTAAACATCTCTATCTATCAAAAAGCTATCAAAGTAGTTAACAAACTTGTTTTATTTAATTTTATCATCAAGCATATCAAATAATCAAAGACGTAAAATATTAAACCCTATTGCCATCTAGCGTTGTACCTAACGTAACGAAAAGTACGTTGCGTTTACCATAATGGATCAATAATATTGTACTAACACACGCGATTTTTATACATATAAAAATATAAAACATTTTGAGTATTTACACAAAATAATTCAAAAACTTTCAAATATTCTCAATTACATTTGCATATAATCATTTTTTAGAAATTTATTTACTTTTACTTCAATTTTATATTAAAGACTTGAGCTATGCACGTTTTTTTAGTTCTTAATAATTATTAATCTTTGTTTAACTCTTTAACTTCTTACACTTATTTACTTCAGTTTTATCAATTGATTCTATTAGAATAAGTACTTTATGATAGTAGTTGCTTTATGAAAACACTGATTGAGGCTTTTGCTTTCTTTGATTTTTCCGTCAATGTATTGTGCAGAAATAATGGGATTAGTTTCCTCCTCCAGTTTTTTTGTGTCAGATACCTGAAAAAGTTTCAAAGAAAACAAGGGTCGAAGACTGACCGGATCGTTTTCTTTTCTTTTTGTTTCATATTGTCTACATTTTTCTTTTCGAATGATTCGTCATTATATTTATATATTTATAATATTATATAATATTGTACTACGCTCATATTTTAACTATTTAATTTGTGTAAATTGTATCTTAGATAACACAGAGTATTTATGATAAATATTCATAAATATTTATTTCTAATTATTTTTTTAAATATTATATAAATATTTTTTATATAAGCTTTATTTAAAATATGATTAAAATACGAACTAAACATTTTATATAATATAGTTATATAAAATTAGACAAATATAAATAAATTCATTTAGTAAACATTTTATAAATATTTCTAAAATGTTAGGAACGTCATCCGTTTTTATCTAGCTATACATTATACTACTAAAGCGAATGTTATTTTGCAACTATTGCAAGTTTTCCTTTTTAAAATAAGACTATTTTAGATTTATTGATAAAAAAAATATATTTTAGTTGTACGCACGTTCTCTTTTGTTTTTGATATGTATATTAATTAAAGATATGTAATAGTTATAAATCTATTATAGTTATAAAGTTGTTAATATTTAGCTTAGTGTTCATAAATCATCGAAGTAGCAGTTTCTACAATTTCAGAGGATCTTTGGATGTGGTACAACTTAAAATGAGTAATCGAAGAATGATTAAGAAAATTGATTCTCGATTTCAAGAGAAAATATTTCTTTAATTATATTTTATAATAATAAAAGGGATTAACTTCATGATCTATGCAATCTAAGACCATGAAAATATTAACAAAATATTTTGATAAATATTTTATAAATGTTCAAATAAATTCTATTTTATAAATACTTGATATTGTGTGCAGTTTGAGATTGTCATCATTCTTTGCTACTTTATTTTAAAGTGCTACTTTATTTTGTTATCATATATGCAAATTTTATAATACGTAGGCTCTTTGATCGATTTTGTATGCTTTAAGTTAGTTTTTATTGTTTACAACGTTATTATACTTATCGCTGTTGTAGTCGAACATATGACAAATCAAAAACTCAAGAATTTAGTGTACCTGCCTGACCGATTCACATCCCTGACTCTAATAAATCAACTAAAGGTCGATGTCTCTTTTGTGTATTCGTAGCTCTATTTAAGGCCTACTCAATATACTCAAGTGTCTTATACTTCATTATTTAAGAATGTTTGCGACCTAAGTTCTTACTTTTTTCATGAATTAATTAAATAATTATATTAATTTATTACAATATAAGTATAAAGTGCACGATTTTTTAATAATATTGCAGATTTCATTGCGCATAAGTAGTACGTTCTTCATAAAGCCGCTAGTTTTATCATTTCTGCGCGTTGATTGTTTCAAGCTTATCGAGACGGTAATGCGTCGGCGCATTTTCATCGACGCCGACGCCGACGCCGACGCCGATGACGCTTGACAGGACCGTCTCAGAAAGTCTTCCAGTAATACGTATCAAAAAATAAAAATTTAATGTAAAAATCCGAAAGAATACAAACATATTTATATTAAATACGGTTAAAATTAATTATAAATTCACAATAATAATAAAATAACACAATGATTTAAAACAAATTTTATATTTGTATTTTATTCTTTTTTTGTTTAGTTATTATTTCATCAATTTATATGTAAATAATTTTTTAAATTAAAAAGAAAAAATGTCGCTTACAAAACTCTTGCAAAGTAAGTTAATATGCTATACAAATTATTTTATAGAGATTGTATAAATACATATTGCGGAAATAGTAATTAAAGAAAAAAATTTTAATACGCTGTATAATGATTTAATTAAGGGAATGTAATTATACACTAAAATCTATCAATGTGCGGATTTATAATCACGCGTTGGACATGATTTTGATGTTTTTGTTCTTATAATACCTAGAACTACACATGCCGGCACTGCGACATCCCTATATATATATGTATATATACTTTGAAACCTGCGCCCAAGGGTGACGGCCATGTCGACGTGGACTCTGCAGTGCTCCCCCGTTTCAACCTGCGTACACCCTCGGTTGGCGACTACTCATACGAAGAAACGACCGCTTTTAGGATACGGACAGGGCCATCTCAAAGCAAGTAATCGTCGCGCCAGATTACTCTTGCACGCAGCATTTGGGCTATGAATGAAGACCCAACCCTTTCACCTCGAGGTAATCATACTCTATATATTTAGTGATATACCTTGTGTCATATTCGCTCGATGTGTTATTTCATAGACAAGGGAATCGTAGAGCAAAATTGAGGTTGCTTTATTGAAAAAGTCACGGGTTATCATAAATAAGGAAACGACACGCTTCATCGCGCCGTGATTAAAAGTAATTAAAAAAAATATTAATGTGCGTGAATGAGTGGCGACGTTTTTATCGATTGCATTACTTATGCATGTGTACCTCAAGGAAGAGTATTCTTTGGTTGTATACATATATTATTACGAAGTGTATAAGGTGGATACTTCCACTCGTGCGTCACTTTGACGTTTGCCATTTATTAGTCGATCATAATACGTCCTTAATTAAAATATAATGCACATGAATAAGAAATATGTCAAAAAAAAAACTGTATTAACACATTTTGTACGGTTTAAGAGTATCTACATAAATATAGAACGTGAAGAACTCTCTCTTCCGTTTGCCTTGATATGAAAGGTAATCGATTTGCAACTCTTTAGCGGAAAAGAGTTACGAAGTTAAATTTTTTTTAACCTTTTTGCACATATTATGAAAGATGCATACATGTTTGCACACATGTTTATAAAATAACGTTATATCATCATTAGGTTTTGGCAGTGTTGCTTCTATCTGTGATTCCATGGCCAGGTCCCAGCGTCTTTAAAATATCATGCCCCCGCGATCGAGCATC